CATGATAGGGTTGTTTCAGATTTCGCTACGAGAATGACTATACATAATCGAGACGCAATGTACACACACACTTTCACAATATTCGTGCTCATCTCTTTCTCTCTCTCTCTCTCTCTCTCTCTCTTCTTATCTCTCTCTTTCTCTTTTTCGTTTGTGTCATCCGCGCTTTGCCGTCAGCACGCGGTGTGCAGAAAACCTAAACCTATCTACCTACCTACTCTCGTCTTTTTCGTACGCGTTTGGATATCGTTCCCCGTCCGGTACATAAAACCTCTTGGAGATATCTTCTCCCGGCGGTCGTGACGGAAAAAGAAACCCAATATTTCATGGAGACAGATCGTTATTGGGGCGTGCACTACAGGTACTATCCCGCTCTCTACGAGTCGATCTCTCGTGGTAGGGGAAAGGATACGACGGGGATGACTATCGCGGATAAGGGATAATATCTCAAAGTGTGGCTCGGAATTAATCCGAGCTGGAACGGCAGACGCGGCGCATCGAGGCGTAAAACGAAGCGGCAGTGGCGTTTCGACGCCAATGGTCTTTCGCCTGCGAGATGTATCCCTATTCGATTACGTTCTCCACGCGCCTACGCTCTACGGATACATTCCCCGAGAAGCCCATCGGGACGAGAGCCCGAGATATCCGGACACTAACGCGAGAGCAGATTGTTTAAGTTAGCGACGCGCGACGATCCGGCCGACGTTCCGTGACGCTCGACCGAGTTCTGATTAAAAGAAAACAGCACCGATCGGCCGGCTTTGAAATTTGGCTTTGACACGATCTGCGCATTTGGAACGCATTTATTCAACAAACTGGGTTATTTTTTTTAGCGTAATACGCTTTCAATTGATCGATTAATCTCTTCTTCGACTGGAAATTGAACTTTGCAAATTACGCCGCGATTACGCCTCTAATGTCCAAATAGATGAGAAAAATTTCTAATGGATGCGATGAGATCAATTAAAAAGAAGAAGATAGATCAATTATATATATTATACAGGGTGTCCCCAATTTAAATGTCAAAACTTTAGGAGCGTGTAGGGGACCGATAAAATAAGACGCAAATCTCTAAAGGACTTTTTGTCTTATGTTAGTTTATCGGTCCCCTACACACTCCTAAAGTTTTGACATTTAAATTGGGGACACCCTGTATATATTGAAAAATGTTTTTAAATAAAGCGAAATGTATAATGATTAATTGTTGACTAATCCGATGAGTAATTTTTTATATACAAAATATTCTCAATTTAGTTAATTTGAAAAATACATATTGTCAAAATTATTAATGATATAAAAATTATTTTCTTATTATTTTAGTTGAAAGTTGAAAAATTTCACAGAAGAGAAGCATTATCTAGCAGGCTATATAGCTGGAAACAGTTTAGCGATTTAAAAATCGCTATCATTTTTTCATATTGAATCGTATACTGTTTTTAAATTATAGCTTTATTATCTGATACTTATCAATCCATTTAATAATCTCTTTAATCTTTATAGCTTTTATAATCATTGAATATACCCATCCAATGATTATTACATTACTATGCAATTTTATTATATCCGTATTTGTCTGCATATACGTCTGCCACAAATTAAAAAAAAACATCTAAAATCTCATCGGTTCTCATCTGAACAGAATCTAATCAGCGACCCACATATTAAATCAACTTAATGATCGATCGATAGCCGAATTGGGTTAGAGACTTCGTGAAAGCTTCTCATCGTCACGACATGGAGAGCTCTTCCCTGGAAACCAATAAGGTATTGCTTCGATTCTATTAAGAGACAAGAGCGACGAGCCCATCTTGGACTTTCGACGCTTCTCAGAAGCCGACTCACGAACTTCCGGTTTTACTGCATTACAAAATCAGCGCGGCGGATATGCATCGCTGACGATCGAAGCTGCTATCGAACTGGGACACAAAGTTGTAAATCACTTATTAGAGTTAGCGGACTTGAAGAAGAACAAAATATGTCGCCATCGTTATAGCTAGAAAGTTTTGCGAACTCATACGAAAAGGGAAGGGGATTACACGAGAATCTATATTTCAGACTCTTTGAATATTGTCTGTCAGACTTGCTTTAATTACGCTTATATAATTAAGATTTGTTCAAAATATTTGTAAAATTATTAAAAAGTTAAATGTTGCATAAAATAGAATAACTACGTTCATCGTTCATTCAACGTATATATACATATATATATTGATTCCTATTTCGACTATTAAACATTAATATTCTATTTATAATCCCAACTTTCTCTATCAAAACATTTTCAATATTTTCAGAGCGTTTATGCATAAGCGTGCGTAATTACGTTTGATTTCGCTTGTACACCGGATACTGTTATTTAACATTATGGAAACATGAAACGCTATTGCATAACTTTCTATAAAGTGGAAATTAAACTTTCTGTACAGGTTGACGCGCATCTCATATCGATTTGGCATCAAACATTAATTACTGCATTGCGATATCCGTTTCGTCAAGTTAGTCGCGTTATAAGCTATTATTTTACACGAAGTAAAATAACATTGCATAACACTTTTATTTCAATTGTGCACAAAATCTCATTGTAATTTATATCACTTCTCATTACAAAAAATAATTACGAAATAAATACATAATATATATTATCAAAGAGGTAAAAACATTTAAAAAACTGTCTCGGTTAATATCCTGAACATTAAAAGCCTTTTTACTCGAAATCATATTAATCGCTCTTTTTATTTTTAATATAGTACATACTAAAAAATAATTATTACGATATAAACTAATAACCATATAATTAATAACAGATTTTGTATTTACATTTCCATTTTATAATAAATTCGATGCATTATACATGCAGAAGTCCACCATTATTTGAATGAAAATTTTGTTCGCGCAAAAAATAGAACAAATAAAGAAAACAACTTTATCCGCTTGCACGCAAAAAAAAAACAATATTTTATCCAAGAATGTAAATTTATTCGTAAATAAGAATTAATTATAATCATACATTTAAATAAAAATTTATTCGGAATAAGGTATATACACTGAATATTTGAAAAACTTTAACTAATTATCTGATAAATAAAAAACATATTTTAGAGTACTTTCGAGTAAATAAATCATCTGAAAATAAATATCCAAACGAGTAAATTTGTTATACATAATAGAGTTGCAATCATATATTTTATACTATATTTTTATACTTCTCTCGTTTTGTACATATTATTTCCATTAAAATAAAGAGTGCAGGATCAATCGATTATGACATGCGTTTCTGGTGACGCATTACAAGCAAACATGAAATTTTTGATTCCATATTATCGATGACTTTGTAAATAATCCAAGAGTTTTGTTATCGAGAAAAATTCGACTCGGCGATTTAACAGCCGCACATCCGACGAAAGAGCAAATCAAACTACAGACAAACCAGTCAATCGACGGTACTCTCAACATGATCGTTTACAGAGGATTGCTTTCAATGGTCGGCTGATTGTACGAGTGGTCGCTCGATCTCGGATTAACGACCATTCTTGGGACCGATTCGTCCAATCGCAGCGACAATCGACATCGAGTATCGGCGGCCAGTTTCGCCGAGTTTCCTCGGTCGGACGCAATTTTGTGAAAGTTTAACGAGCCTCGAACTAGATCCCGCGCGAAAAGCCCAAGTTTCCACTCTCGAAAAACGAGGATGGCCGATGAGTTCAGATCTCCAGATTTATATTGTGATGAGAGAGAAAGAGGGAAAAAAAGAAAGAAAGAAAGAAAGAAAGAGAAGAGCGTGTCTATTCGTAGGTTTCGTATGTTCTCCAATAATCGCGATGTTATCACGATTGACTGTTCCACTGCAAACAGTTGTAAACTGCAATCGCGGGTGTGTCACCGTATCTTCGGATATCGACGATTATATCCCCGTGAAAAGGATTAGTTTGAGAAGTATATTTGGAAAATGATTGATGTGCGGAATAAAAACTTCGTTTCTTTTCTATTTGAATTTAATGAGTTTGCAACTAGTTTTCCATGAAAAGATCAACGTTTTATCTAACATCAAATGAAAACTGCCAGATCGAAAGTATCTTGAGATTCATCACTAAAAAAAGTTATTCCGTTCGTAGCTTTCATTTATCGGATAATCGCGATACTACCGTAACTGATTGTTCCGCAAATAGTTGTCAACTATGATTGTCATTACTATACTATTATGTTGTCGTACTCCGAATACCAACAATTGTATAATAAATAAAAAAATTTTCGCTTGTTTAGAATACAATTCTTGCATCGTATAATATTTTTCTCAATATCAATTTTTCATCAGTTTTGTTATGATTTAATAATAAATATATATCTAATGCCTCTCTATTAAAACATTATTGTATTTAATATAAATATTTTGTAATTGTCAAAGCAATAAATTGATTTAAGTAATTTTTTAATAAGCAAAAAGCATTGAAATAATTTTTTAATAAGCAAACCGTTTTGTGAGACTAGCAGCAGGAAACGCATGCAGAAAATAAATAGTAAATCGTGCAAAAAGGATAATCCGAGCATAATTTTATGGAAGCTTAACGAGCCTTGAGTTAGTCCCGCACGAAAAATTTAAGTTTTCTCGTGAGAACAACCAGGTCAATTTCTGTAAATCACTATGGATATGCAAATCACTATGGAAAAGTTGCTACGCGTACTTTCCATCCGCTCTATATCTGTGATAGCAATTATAAATGCAAACAGAATTGTAAACTGCGCATGTCAGTATTTTAAAATATGTATGACTGGATTACAATTTAAAAGATATCTACAACTTCTATTCCAAAGACCGTAAGAGTATGCACAAAATGATTCTTGAACTTAATGGCAAATTTTGAGATTAATAGACCAGTGATAAAAATATGCATGTACTGCTTAGCATGAAAAATCAAATAATTCGCTTTTGGTATAAACAACATTTTCGGGCGAACGTCAATCTAACAAGAAATCTGCCGTAGCGATTAAGGGTGACGTTTACTTACCGATAACGGTGAGGTTAACTTTCAAGTTTCTTGTCGGCGAGTTCCGGAAGTCGACCCTGCACCTGTAAACACCCTCGTCACTTTGTCGAAGGTCCTGAACTGTCAACTGCGCCGGCGGGTTCGCACGAAAAGATGCTCGGTGGCCCCAAAAATGCGCAGCACTCCATAGTTTCGCTTTTCCAAACTGTCGACTTCTCGCATCGTAACTACAACAATAATCACAGAAATGTATCATTAAAATATAATTTCGAAGAAGATTGCATAATATTTAACTCTATATTTAGTCTATTATTTGATAACAGTCGCAAAGCCGCTCAAATTTAAAAATTATTTTATGAAAAATTCTTTAATCTCTTTTATCAAAAATAAATTATAAAATTATAGAATAACCGAAATATCAAATTAAAAAAAAAAAAGGATAATATTCATCGAAAAAGTATTAGCTTATGTACGGCATATAAAGCGTCAACTCCTCAAAGCAAAGCATTATAAAAGATTTATGCTGTTGATTTAATGCGTAACGGCAAAGGAGTCCAAAGCGAGTTCTTATCGCGGAGTACACTGCATTTACAGTGAGAAGTCTGTTTGCGACTGATATACTTCGTCTGGCTCGGCCTCGAGCTTCACGGAGTGTCCTCGGGCCGCGCATACAAATCACGGGATTACCGCCGCGAAATATGTCCGTTCGCGGAGTTAAATACCCGCAGTTTCGCGTGTCGCAAATCGCGGCAGCAAGTCGCGTAGTTCGCGCTGCCGTCCGCCGCACGATATTCGCATTTGTCAGCCAGGCGAAAACTTTCCCCTCCGGAATAACAGACGAGTTACAATATTTTAAAATCTTTGCTTGCCCGGGTCGGAGAAGAGCGAACGAACGAGGGAGATGGAGGGCAGGCTAAATAATGCGGGTTAAGTCGGCTAGAGGGATGAAAGTAACCGGAGGAACGAATGGCCGACGACTAAAGTACGACGCACAATACACTCGAGCCGCTCTTATCTGGCTTCGGCCAATTTTTCACCGAACTTTTGCAATTCGTCATAGTCGAGGAGCTCGCGGGTGGCGAGAGTGGAGAGGCGATTCTCCCCCATCCCTCTCAAAGTCGTCCGGGCTCGAGACGACCCAATACAGACCGGGAGAAGTGCACTCGACCGAGAGAGTCAGATAACCTTTTACTTCTCAGGTCGGAGCTTTCCATGGAGGCGGTTTTAGGTCTTGCTAAAAGAAAAGACCGATACGTGATATATCGTTCGCATTATACAATTACGATGTCGTATGATTTACCGGATGACCTGATGATTTATTTATCTATGAACAATGATGATAATCTGATTTACTTCTATGTCCAATTTATCCAATCTTATATCTTAAAAACTCTCTTTTGCTACAAGTTTTCTTGTTATATATATATCAGAAAAATTTACGTAGATATTACCGATCTGCAACATTCTCAAACGCAAAAATATTAGATTCCGTTTATGAAAACATACAAACGGAAAGTTTTCCTTATTCCTTCCAAGATATTCTCCGTTCCCATGGCACAAAGATCAATTGTGACACAGGTGCTGTATCCTCCATCCCGTGCCATCAATTATCATTGGCCCGGACCGAGTGCGCTCGAACGTAAGTTCGTAAGTCTAATCGAGGAACAAAATGACGACGAAGTTGGCACGATAAGACATTCGCGCCGTCAATCGTGCCTGAGCGTCGACAAGGACGTCCAAGTTTCGCCTCTCCGAGTCCGCTCTCACCCGCGCGCGGCTCATTCCCGTCCTAGCGGTTGCCAAGACAAATTGAATAGGTTTTTAATGAGCGCAATGATTCGTCGAACAGGCCCGAGACCTGCTCAAATTCACCGGCATAACGTAGCACGAGATGCAGCGCGACGCTGCGGCATCAACCCCGCTCGTCGAGTTTCCGTGATTTACGCGGTCTACGTGAAATTTAAGGGGTCCGTAAACACACGTCGACAGTAAAAAGATCTAATTGCGACGGACGGTTGTTCTCTCCGAGGCCGGACGAGTAAATCCCTCGTGGAAAATTTTATTTGCGAAAGTCGGCCACACGTTGTGTCGCGCGTATAATTAAGCGTGAGGGCGAATGCTGTTGGCGGAACGATGTTGAAAAGCGCGGCACCGCGTATAGTTGTATTGAATCATTCCGCTCTAAATAGAAAACGCACGTCACGACACATTTAACTCTTTGTTGTAACATTATTTCTGCAAAAGAGAGTTGTATTTTTTATACTTTGTATGTGTATAGCTTTGAAACTTATATTTTATTATTTCAAGATTTATTATACTAAAAAAAAAAAAAAAAATTATTATTTCAAGATTTAAAATATATATTTCATATAAAAACTTCATATATATAAAAATTATAAATTCGCATTTGATAATAACAATTCTTTTATAACTAAGTTAATAGAATAGTTTTTATTCCATTCACTGGATTATTTTATTCCGTTATTTTATCAACTCATAAAATGTATGGAAAAACATAAATATACATTTATAACGCAGGGATAAAATAATGGAGAAGGGAAATTATTATATTTGAAGAGATAATGAAAATTGCGGAAAACAATGTAAAACGTGATATTTTATGAAAATCAAATCCATTTTATTAACAGATTTGTTGTCATATGAAATGAAAAGTTAAAGAAAAATCGTGTAATCTACGTGAATTGTTGCATGTAATTTGTATACATGCATTATGAATATGTACGGAAAATATACTTTTTATACGGATAATGTAAATTAATACGTCGGCCAAATTCTACTGATTAACATAGAATAATGTAAAAATAATTATAATTATAATATTCGGAAATTTGTCGCATTTCAGAATATGTTACAAACATTTTTAAAATGATTATCATTCAGTGAAGTTTTAATTAATACTGTCAGCTATTTATTATTGCCGCTGCAAACGGCAACTGCATGCAATATAAAGCACGTCACGATCGCATAAATCCTGTTATGCACTTCGACTGCGAAAATTTTTCCATGGCATACTTCCTGTCCGGATTGCTGAAACTGTATTATTAATTTTGTCCGATTGCAATTCATTGCGCTTTGAAAAAACTTTTCTCTGTCGTATGCTTTTATTCCACGAGAATTACAAGAGAGATTAATTATTTTTAGAAGAGAATATAAAAAATGTTCTCTACATTTTCCTTTTCTCTTAATCGTTCAAAAAATCAGTTTACATTGAATGTGTTTCGTGATCTGCGCGCGCGCGTGCACGTAAACATACACAAATTATAATATATCTATAATACAAAAAACATATTAAAATGTTTTTTTATTTAATTTTCCAAATAATATAAAACAGTTGAAAAATCGACATCGAGTATAGAAATGGAAAGGAAAATAGAATGGAAAGACTGATAGAAAAAAAATGGAATAAGGAAAAGGTGGCAGATGGTCTCTAAACAAATTAAAATAATCACCGAGTCCCATCCGGAAGCTGTGCCGGCATCGCCAGTCTAAAAGAAGGTCTCTCATGAATACGGGCAGCGTTGGCAAAACGAATGTAGCGTGGAAAAGGACGGAGATGGGTCGTAAGGGGGACTTAACCACTCTCGGGACTCTTAAAAAGAACTTAACTTTGCGCATAAAATTAAGGCATTGTAATTGCAGACGGCATCGCCGCTGCGGCAACACATTTCTTTTTTTTTTTTCCAGACCCTTCTTCCTTCCGTTATTTTCCTTCGGCTAACTCTCTTCCTTTTGAAGCTCTCCAGCCCTTTGAAACGACCAAAAAAGGACGAAATGTCAATTTCGTGCTTCTTTTATTCGACAACAAAATATTTATAATTTTCTCCGATTAATTTCGTCGCACAATATCAGCAATGATAAAATCATTTTTGCGTGTCGGATGATCCCGGATTGGAATTACGATATACAATACGCAGAATATGGCAAATATGTCAGAAATTGCTCTTTACACGATTTTTCTGTAATGAAAATTTCATGAGCTATCTCTCTTCACAATTTTTTATGTCAATATTAAATACAGTATGTATATATGTCGGATTAAATTTTTTTAATTATCAAAATTTGTGAACTTTGTATAAAAGATATCTGTTGAAATAATTTTTTATCAGCAAAAATGATTGGACCACCAATTCCTTTTTATTCGTAACTTTTAAAAATTAAACGCCATCTTTGTATTAAAATTCAGTTAAAGTAAAACTGACTTGGAACTACACTGTAATAAAATTCTGTGTCTACGCTTGCTTCAAATTAATTTTCATTTAAGTTTTACGAGCGCGCAGTTTATATTATCCAAATAGTCGCGTAATAATTCGCTACTTTTCTTCACTATTTTGTTTGCCGGCGAATAAATAAAAGCGCAAAAAATTAACACACCGCGAAACGGCGTATCAAACGATGCTGAAATAAAACTTAATTATCTTGCCAGTTTTCCGTCTTGTTGTTCCTGAAAATCACGCCTGTTGTGTTTTCATTCGGAAAAAATGTAATTTTCCTGAGGACAATCTTGTTACATTTCGCATTAACCATGATGGCCCTCTCGGACTACGATGATAAAATGATTTCTAATTACGGTGGATGTGCAAGATGGAGATGAGCAGCGTCGCAAGCTTCTCTCATGCAGATTACATCGCGCGGGATAAAATTTTAAATAAATGTTTGTATAAATCCGCGCTCAAATATTTCTTGCAGTCCGCAAAAACTGTTTAAATTACTTGATAACGCGTCCAAACTTTGTCGCTACGTAGTAAATCCTCTGTTACAAATCATACATATGTATATGTGTGTATTGCCGTGAAATAAAGATCAATTATTAATACACGTACAAGAAAAAATATATTCCAAATTTATCTTCTTTAAGAAACACAATCTCCAATCCATAAGATTATCCATTAATTGATTTTATTTTTTGATAATCGCTACGATATTCACAAATTGCATTGGCGAGTTTGCATTGCTGCCGTTCACCGCTCTATCTTCTCGAAATGAAAAAACTTTTTCGCAAAAAAGAGCGGCTATGTAGTATTCCGATTTGCTCGCGGGAAGGCTTACGATGCATCGAACGTGATCGATCGCGTTCAGTTTGAAAGCTAGCTTTACCGATTTTAGACGATAGTTCCGTATCAGACGTAACGACTCCGATCGGATTCGGGACATTTTTTAATCGGACATGATACCGTCGCGCGCGTGGTTCTCCATATCCGCCAATTTT